GCCGCGGAGCGCGGCTGCTGCCTCCAGAGGGTGTTGCTGGTCTGCGAAGGTGGGTTCGCGCGAGGCCGTCGGACGCAGCGTCAAACGAAGGCAAATGTCAGTCTCCACAGATTTGGCCGTGCCGAGACTTAGATAGATCGGGTTTTTTAAAGAAATTGTATTGATTTTTCATAATACAACCATAGAAACCGTTTGACCTGACATTAAGGGTTGAAGATAAGACCTACCAATAAAATGTTAATGAGAAAAAAAACCCCCCAATAAAGTCTAATTTCATAGAGAAATGGTACCCAGTGCTAGATTATCTGTCACAAAAAACAATTTATCTCATCTGATTGGTCTCAATATCACAAATGGATATAAGATTAATGCAATGTCCAGTTCCGCAAATTCTCATACTTACTTACTTATATCATCTCCACTAGCTCTAATATTTCCTTTTCTTTCTTCTCTTTCTTACCGCTCCAATAGTTCGGGATGCTTCCTAATGTTCCTATCAAGTTTACGCTAAGTCTGTTATCTTTCTACTGAAATCATATTCGGAAGTGTGTTGAGTAATGTATTGTAATTCTTTGAACATGTTATAACGTTGTACATACGCAGGAACTATTTACAGGATGTGAATGTAATTGGAAAATTAATTGTTCACTGTTTGAAGTGTTAGAATTGTTAAAAATTGAAAAAATAAATTAAAAAAAAAAAAAGCTCATATCATTTACAGGTAGAGACGTCTGTGTATGTCCAAGTCCGATGAGGTTTAGTGATGCATGTCAATCCAAGCATGTTTTGATATTGTACACTGAGAGCCTTGAGTTAATAGGCAAAATAAAAAGGTAAAGGGGAAGGTTCCCCTTGCTCGGAAGCCGGTCGACTCCGACTCTAGGGTTGCGGCGCTCATCTCCGTTTCCAAGCCAAAGAGCCAGCGCTGTTGAAAGACGTTTCCGTGGTCATGTGGCCAGCATGACTAGACGTCGAGGCGCACGGAACGCTGTTACCTATTTATCAACTTGCAATTTCTTGCTTTCAAACTGCTAGGTTGGCAGGAGCTGGGACCAGAGACGGTGGCTCAGTCCGTCATGCGGCACTTGGGTCTCGAACTGCTGAACTACCGACCTTCCAGTCTGCAGTCCAGGGTCTTAACCAGTGAGCCACCGCAGCTCCTGATAAGTTATGGACCTGCAATAATCATAGGGGAGGGGAAATCCCGTAGCCCCCCTTTGTGCTGCTTCTGTGCCGTGCGTTCCTGCCCAAAAATAGCCCTGTGGCCGGCATGACTAAACACCAAGGCGCACGGAAAGCTGTGACCTTCCCACCTAAAGTGGTACCTATTTATCTACTTGCAATTTCTTGCTTTCAAACTGCTAGGTTAGCAGGAGCTGGAACTAGAGATGGGAGCTCACTCCGTCATGTGGCACCCGGGTCTCAAACTGCTGAACTACTGACCTTCCACAATAAAGCATCAATTTGTATTTAGCTTCCGTTATGTTTTCCCAGTTAAATTTGTTTAACTCTATATTGTCTAGAATGAGATACCAAATACTTAGCAGGTTGTAGAATTCACATTTGTTTTGATGTACACTTAGATATAGTGATAATCCAGCAGAAGCATATTTAGGGGTCTGGAGTTTGGCCCACGCTGACCAATTAGCTTCAAAAGTCAGGGGGAAACCAAATAGCTGTGGGAAATATTGACGGTAACAGATGACGGAAGTTTGCCTCTGGAATCTTGATTTTAAAACTATAAATTATATCAGCCAAATTGAACCTCTGCCTCATTTTTGGAGAGCTGGACATTTTCTCTGTAGTCTGGAGATGAGCTGTAATTCCAGGGGGGTCCCTGGTCCCACCTGGAGGCTGGCAACCGATGCTCCCTCTAAGCTATGGAGTCCCGTGAGCAAAAATTCTACTTTGTGAGCGACTGCCATTAAAGTTGTGAGCAGGTGATTTGGCTACTGCATACATTAGTTTGCTCTGGAGCCATCCCTTCCTGAGCTAAGACAAAAATGTGTGAGCCGGAGGCTGAAAAACTGTGAGCTGGCTCACACTCACTCAGCTTAGAGGGAACACTGCTGGCAACCCTAATTTTACAGAGAAAGTGGATACTTTGGAGGGTGGGCTATGTGGCCTTGTACCCCAGCACTGAGGCCCCCCTGTCCTCCCCAGGCTCCATCCCCAATTCTCCAGGAGTTTCCCAACCTGGATCTGGCCACCCCTGCTGGTGGCCAGGGGGGACCCGGCAACCCTAATTTTACAATCCACAAGAATAACACACAATCTCAAAACAGGCTGGTAAGAAAAAATATACACAGATTGAATGTGAGATTCCCATATAGGGGAAGATGGATTTACTTATCCACTTTTATACTCACTTTGTTTTATAGAGACTGATAAACCAATGTAATACTATGTCATTTCAGTGTAATATCACTGGAATTCTGTGTTTATAGATTTATTCTTGAGGAAAGACCAGAGATCTGAAACACTTAAATGTCCGGAATAAGTGTTGAAAGAGAGATTGAATTTGGAGGAGACTGCTTTTGAGTATACAAGACTTGTCAGAAGGATATTTACTTGAGAGAGTTTGGAGCAGACTGCTCTGTGCAATTTTATTGACCTTTGTATTTTTTCAGGCTGGTAAGAAAAAATATATACAGATTGAATGTGAGATTCCCATATAGGGGAAGATGGATTTACTTATCCACTTTTATACTCACTTTGTTTTATAGAGACTGATAAACCAATGTAATACTATGTAATTTCAGTGTAATATCACTGGAATTCTGTGTTTATAGATTTGTTCTTGAGGAAAGACCAGAGATCTGAAACACTTAAATGTCCGGAATAAGTGTTGAAAGAGAGATTGAATTTGGAGGAGACTGCTTTTGAGTATACAAGACTTGTCAGAAGGATATTTACTTGAGAGAGTTTGGAGCAGACTGCTCTGTGCAATTTTATTGACCTTTGTATTTTTTCAATGAAGGAATAAGTGGTTGTTTTTCATTACTAGACACTAAATGATGTTATGGCTTTAATCTAGCCTCTTTTGTCATTATATTATTCTGTGGGCATCTGGCACACATCTGTATATATTTTTTCTTACCAGCCCTAATTTTACACCTGATCTCCAGGCAACCAAGATCAGTTCACCTGGAGACAATGGCCACTTTGGAAGGTGGACTCTCTATAGCATCGTACCCTGCTGAGGCCCCTCCCCTCCCCTCCCCAAACCACACCCTCCCCAGGCTCCACCTCCAAAATCTCCAGGTATTTCCCAGCCCAGAACTGGTAACCTTAGTAATGATGGCCTATTATGCTAATGAGTTCCTGCCGGGCGTGGCCAACTCGGGAGCCAGCCGGAACTCCGTTCCTGTGCGTTCCTGCCCAAAAAGAGCCCTGGCAATGATGGACCCTGAGGGTTTGCTTTCGTAGGGATTAAAAGGTCAGGGCTCCGCTTCACAGCATGGACACACGGTGTTGATATTAACATAAAATACCCAGAGCTAAGGCTGCCAACCTCTCGGAGTTGCCTGGGGAGCTCCAAGAATTACAACTGATCCCCAAGCCGCAGAGATCAGTTCCCCTGGATAAAATGGCTGCTTTGGAAGGTGGACTTCATGGCATTATTCCCCGGGGAGGTCCCTCCCCTCCCCCAATCCCACCCTCCCCAGGCTCCAAACCTTCAGGAATTGTCCTATCTGGAGCCAGCAACTTTAGCAGTGACATCTGAGACTATAAATTAATGCCACAGTTCCAAGGATTACACAAAAATGGGTAAACATCTCTGCTCTTTGATGGTTTATGTGTACATCCACAGCTTTGACAATTACTTAAAAGTTTAAAAGTTCAAAAATAATTCCACAGCCAGTTTGGTGTTGTGGTTAAGACTCTAATCTGGGAGAACTGGGTTTGATTCCCCACTCCTCCACTTGGACCTGGCTGGATGACTTTGGGCAAGCCGTAGTTGTAGTTCTGGTAAGAGCTGTTCTTGAAAAAGAGCCGTTTCTGTCAGAGTTCTCTCGG